TCAGGTCCCCTTCTAAACACTGCTGGGAGGACAAGACAGTCCCGGACTGCACTGCCGTTTGCTGACCTCAGTGACTATGGGAAGCCATGCTGAGCTCGATCCGCGCCTTCTGAAAATTGGGTTAGCAGTGCCCACCTCCAACAATGGTGTCAAGATTAAATCCCGTCGTGTGTGTAAGTCACCTGGCCTCAGACAGACACTCCCAGGCAACTACCTTTATTATTATTGGTGATGTGTGAGGAATTAGCCACCTAAAAATACCCAGGATCAAAACAGTATTCATCAAACTCAGGACCTCACTTTTTCTAGGCAGGCACTCTCCCACTTGAGCCACTCCACCACACCACTGCTTCTAACCCTTTGCTCTCACCAGTTCCCAGAGGCTGTCCCTTAAGCTAAAGGACATGGGCCACTCTTGGCGCCCTCCCTGTCCCTCCTCTCTGCATGCTACTTGTTACTTGCCTAGGAAAATTCACCTAAATGCACAACACTCCTCCCTGCCTTCTGCTCCTGTATTCCCAGGACCCAGAGGCCTGGCCATTACCACTTGTGTGCAGGAGAGGGTGACACGTGGGGACGTGAGACAGGTGCACAGGTTGGTGAGGAAAAACCCAAAGGGACCAGGGGAACGAACCGGTGATGGGACAGCCCGGGCGGCCGCGGTTTCACACTGTGCGGCCCCTCCCCCGCCCCTGCGCCACGCTCTGTTCCCGAGCCCGCCAGCCCCGGGCGCCAGCATGTGCGGCCCTCCCCCGCCCAGCGCTGTCCCCACCCCGGGGCGGTCCTGCCGGGCGGGGCGACAGCCCGGGCGGCGCTGGGACTTGTAGGCCGCGAGCCTGGCACCCCAGGTCAGGCTAGAGCGCTGCCACACTTCCCCAGTCGGCCGCGGTCACAGAGGGGAAACTGAGTCTTGAGGAGGGACTTCAGTTGGCTCAAGATCACACGGCCCGGCAGTCGTCGTCTTCTCGGGCTTCTAGAGGGCAAGTCAAGGTCACACTTTAAGCAAAGGTTTCAAAAGGCGCTTCCAGGGAACTTGAGTTGGTTTGGAGCTCTCCCGGCACCCTTCATCCCATCCTGGGTTCGCTCAACAAGCACTTTACACCTTGAGCAAAACATCCAAGGTCCCTATTTTCCTGGTGCCCACCTAATAGCCTGGAGAGCCTCTTTAGCAAATGTGTGTGGAACTTGGGGAAATACAAAAGTACCCTGAAGACACCAGGTGCTGGTGGCTTGCGTCTGTAATCCTAGCCACTGGGGAAGCTGAGATCAGGAGGATCATGGTTTGAGGCCAGCCCAGGCAAATAGTTGTTGAGACCACCATCTCCAAAACAACCAGCACAAAATGGACTGGAGGTTTGGCTCAAGTGGTAGAGCATCTGCTTTGCAAATAAATACTGAAGCCCTGAGTTCAAACACCAGACACACATACACAAAAAAAAAGTATCATGAAGGAAAATCAGAATAAAGGGGATATAGGAGAGGCAGAGGCCAGCAGGCAGGGGACAGAGGGTGGGAAATGAGACCAGAGAGAAGCTGTGTTCCCAGTAGGCTCTGAAGATTTGGGGTTAAGGAGCTGTGTGGGGTCTGGGAGAACTTGCACTGGCTGCTGGCCAGAGTAGGCTGGGGAGGGCTCGGTCGCGCCATCCAGTGGGCAGAGAAGGGCCTGGAAGGTGAGGCTGAACCACCGGCTTGGCTCACTATCCCTGGCTGCCCTGAGGCGCCACTCCAGCCTCACAGACTCTACCTGGGTTTCACTGTGCCAAAAGGAGGCCATAGGGTTGGGCCAGGCGTGACCCCACTGAGAGTGGCAGGTTCCAGTGTGATGCCTGGAGCTGGGGAGGGTGTGAGGGGAGGGTGTGAGAGTCTCAAGGTCTCAGACCTGACTCCAGGAAGTGGGGGAGTGGCCCATGGGTGAGGATGTTGGACCAGGACTGCTTCACTGGCCAGCAGCGACTTCGGGAAGACCTGGTGTTTGGTTTAAAGCTGATGCCAATTTGAACTTCCTAGTGTCTTTTGAGCAAGAGGCTCCAAGTTTGCATTTGTGCTTGGCCAGGAGACTTCTATAGCCCCTCCTGCCTGGGCACACAGAAGCCCCAGGATGGGGACAGGGACAGAGAACAGGATCCACTCTGCTTTTCCCCCAAGGGTAGCCCCATAGGGATCCCTGACAGGAGGGACAATAGGGCTGGAGCTGTGAAGAACCCAGACCTCCCTCCTCTACCCACCTAGCCGCTTCAAGGACTCTGGGACCCCCGCAGCTCTGATCCAGTGCCTTCTGGACTGAGTATGGTATCTGACTGTTTGTTGGATTATTCAGAAGTCAAGTGGGGCCAGAGGTGTACTGTCTGACACCTGGGGGGAGGCCCTAATAAACATTTGTCCAGTGAACCCTATCTTTTTGTGTGTGCATACACAAGAAAACCACTTTACCTTTTAACACAGTAGCTGCTGCTCCCTGAGTAGCCCTGGAATAAATACTGACTCCAGCGCACGAAGTTAATCCTGCCCATCTAATTCCTGACTTTGCGCTGCACAGCCGGGCTGGGCTCCGGGCCGTGTCCCAGGCCGGGGGCAGTACTGCCGGAGCGCAGTCCTCGCTCAGGAGAAACATGCTGCCTGGAGGGGTCATCCCCTCGCCACTCCACCGGAGCGCCCCGCCCCCGTCCCCAGTTCCCTCCCCCTAGAGCCCCCTATTTCGTAAGTGCGCCTCACTTGCTGCTTCCTCCGAGCGCCTCCTCAGCTCCCGCCCTCCGCCCCGCCCTGTGTCTTCTCCCTCCCCACCCAGCGCTCCCTCCCGGGGCTCCGCATCCTCGCTCGGCGGGGGGCGGGGCTTGGACTACACTTCCCGGCGGCCCCCGCGCCCAGAGCGGGGCGGGGCCGAGCGGCAGGGGGTCGGGCCGGCTACAAAGCCCGGGGGCGGACGCCGGGGCGCAGAGTTCGCGCAGCGCGGGTGCGGAGCACGGAGCAGTGCGCAAGGCGGGTGCGAGGGAGCGGTGCGTGAGCGGACTGGACGGGCGCTCCCCGCCGCCCCCCATGAGCGCAGCCTCGCGCGGCCCGGGTCCGTAGCAGCGGGGCGCCCCCCCCATGCTGCTGCAGCCCGCGCCGTGCGCCCCGAGCGCGGGCTTTCCGCGGCCCCCGGCCGCCCCCGGCGCCATGCACGGCTCGCAGAAGGACACCACGTTCACCAAGATCTTCGTGGGCGGCCTGCCTTACCACACCACCGACGCCTCGCTCAGGAAGTACTTCGAGGGCTTCGGGGACATCGAGGAGGCCGTGGTCATCACCGACCGCCAGACTGGCAAATCCCGCGGCTATGGCTTCGTAAGTGGCCCCGCGGCCCGGCCCGCTCTTCTTCCCCCGCCGCCGGTCCCCCGCCTTATCGCGTCCCAGCGCCTAGTCCAGTCGGGGCGCCTCGCTGCCACCTCCCGGCGCCCCCGCGCACCTGCTGCCCCCCCCCCACACCCCGGGCGCCGGCCCGGCCCGGCCCGGCCCAGCCGCCCCGCCCCCACCGCCGCCAGAAAGGAGCCCGCTGTGTTCAATTAGGACCCCTAAGTTGGTGGAGAGAGGTTGGGCCTGATGGCCACTCGGGATTTCCTGGAGCAGCCGGCCGGTAGGGAGCAGGGCTTCGCCCCAGGGGATGCTGGGGCCCTTGGGCTCCTTCCCCCACTTTCCAGCAGACCTCTTACCTTCTCCAAATGAACATCAACTTAGGTAAAAACGACTTGAAGACATGTTTCCTTCTTCCCTTGCAACTAGAGTCGCTTAACTCCTCCCATGAGGAAATTAGCGGCAATCACCGGTGGCAGGCCTGGCCTAGGGCCCCCATTTCATTGGGGTTCGGTTTTTTTGTTTTGTTTTGTTTTTTGCTCCACCTCCCAGAGGATTGTTTTTGCCCTTGAAGGCTAGATTTCCCAGTACTGGAACTTTGAGGGGAGGGGCTTGGAGTCCAGGGGGGCAACTTGTGGAAGAGCCCTGTGCTGGGGTCAGAGGGTACTGGGCCCAGGGGTCCTGAATATCAGGCGCCTTGTGAGGGAGAGAAGAAGGAGGGGGATGGCGTGGTGCCAGGGCAGCCTTTTGCCCTCACCTCCCTGCTTCCCCAGCCTCTCAGCGGGAAGCCCCTGACTGACTGTCCTACTTTAGGTGACCATGGCCGACCGGGCAGCAGCTGAACGGGCTTGCAAAGACCCTAACCCGATCATCGATGGCCGCAAGGCCAATGTGAACCTGGCATATCTGGGCGCCAAGCCACGGAGCCTGCAGACGGGTGAGAGCTTGTGTTTTCCTCACAGTCCTTGGTTTCTATATTCAGCCTTGGTATCTGTCCGATGGAAAAAGACTCCCCCCTCCCCCCTGCCTGGGAGTGGCAGTCAGCTATCATGTGCCTGCAGAGCCAGTTCGGGAGTCACCCCCAGCTTGGAAGCTTGACCCTGTCTCAACAGTGTGTGGCCCTGGGGACAGGGCAGGGAGGGTACATCACCCTGATTGCCAGCTGCCCTCTCTGGAAATTGCCCCCAGGGCTGGAGGCTGGGAGTCTCTCAGACAGCCCACTGCCCCCCTCCCCCTGCCAGGGCCTGCTTTTGGTGTTTGGGGATGGACAAGTGGGGGCAGTGGTAGGAGCTTGGGGAGGAGGAGGAAGCTAGTTATCCCTTGTGGCTAGGGGCGTGCAGCCTGAATGGTTCAGCCTCCCTGTGTGTGAGTGGGTACGCGCCTCTGGGCATCTTTCCTGTGCAGTTTGATGTCCCTAACTGTCTGTTCATTCTAGGTTTTGCCGTCGGTGTGCAGCAGCTGCATCCAGCTACAACCTTGATCCAGCGGACGTATGGGTGAGTGGTTGGTGTGGGGCCGGAGATCTTGGGAGATGAGCTGAAGTCCCAGGGCTTCCTGGGACTGAAAGGTTAGGGTAATTTTCATCTTCAGCCACATGATTGTGTTTTGTGGAGGGAGAGTCAGGCACCCATCCCCCTCACTGGCTGTGTGCCCTGTGCCTCTACTTCCTCTCCTGTAAGATGTGGCTGATAACAGCCTGCCTGGGCTCTGAGTGGGGGACAGACTCAGGCTGCTTCTGGGGCAAGCAGCCTCTCCCCTCGAGCCTCTTAGGAACTGTGGACTGGGTGCCCTCCAACCTGCTCTGTTGTGGGCAAGGTGTTGGCTTTAGGTCATTGCCAGCCTGGGTGCATTGTTTGCGAATGCTGTGTCAGGTGAGCTGTGGTCAGGACCAGATGTCATTGTTGTGAACTCACAACAAGCACCCAGCTTCTGGCTTTTTGTGTGAGTCATTTTGGAGCAGTCTGCCCTACCTTCTTCCATCGTAAAAGGACTTCCCCTCCTACCCACTCCGTTTTTAAAACGTCTGATAAGTACGCACACATAGGGACACAAAGGACCTTGTCACTTGGTCTGATTTCCAGCGTCATGATCAGCAAGGCCTGTTTGCCCCAATGCAGTTGGGGCAAACAAGTTGGAGTTTGGGTGGGTGGCTGGCAGTTTTAGAATGGGCCTCTGAATTTATGCCTTAGTTGGAGTGTGCAGGGTTTGGGCAAAGTTCGAGGGGAAAGCACTGCTTGCCCACTCTGGGAGCTCTTCTCCTTCGATGTGGCACTGTGGCTCCCTGTGGCATCCGTGCACATCAGCAGGCTCCTGTAGGCTCAGTGGTAGGAGGTTCCGGGACTTACACAGGGCCTGGGCCCCAGCTGGACATCTGTCCTCCCAGGAGGGAGCTTGGAGCTTGGACCCTGGGGCAGATGGTTCTAGACATTCTTCTCACCCTGAGATCTGATTCCTAAATGTCTGGGGCTGTCTTGGAAGGTGTTTGCAGACACCCCTTTGTGTCTTTACTCAGCTTCACCCATTGCGGTTCAGGCCAGCAAGGAGGGCGTCCCTATCTGTGTCAGCTGGCTCTGCTCCAGTGGCCGCTGTTACACAGAGACCAGATGCATGCCTCACCCTCTGCTGCCTCAGGGACAGAGCCTCTCACTCAAGTACAGCTCACAGCTGCTTCTCCTCTGGGGCCACAGGCCTGGGTTCAAGTCCTAACTCTGCTGCTTCTGCATATGGCCTCCTTAGTTTCCTCATCTGGGAACTCAGTGGGAACCACACCTCTTAAAACAGTGCCCTGTGGGTGGGCTGGGGTGCCATGCTCCCCACAGATCCCCTCTGCCTGTCCTTTCACAACTAGCCTCCAAAGTCAGGACTGATGTCACTCATAGGGAGACTGAGACAAGAATAGGCTGGAGAGCTTTGGAGGGAGGAGGAATAATAAGTGGGAGGAGATTTGAATCCAGGCTGCGGATCCAGGAACCCAGGCTCTCAGCTACCTCTCACTGGAGGTTGGTAGGAGGGCACCTGACCTTTCTTCTTGCCTGCAGTCCTGGGACACCCTGTCATCCAAGGGTATTCGGGGTCCTTCACTGATCTTACCGCTGTGTGCACCTGATCTCAGGTGACAAGGATTTGTAACTAGATCCAGGGGCTAAGTATTTAAAACTGTGACCACAAAGAGGCCTCAGACCCTGTTGGCTGCCAAGAGGTGGAGACCCAAACGGGCGGGGTCAGAGGAACTGTCCTTTCTTTTCCCAGAGAGCACTGAACTGAGCTTTGAGGCGCACACCACCGCCTCCCCCTGCCCAGACCCTGTGGAGACCCAGGTGGCAGGAGGGCCCTGGTTGTGTGGCCTTAGAGTGGCTGCAGACTGTCAGCCGCAAGCTCCCGGCTCCCCACCCTTAGGGGGCCAGAGAGTCTGCTGTCAGCTTCCCCTTTGTCTTTGCAAACAATCAGGCCAGGGCACAGCCAGGCCTGACTCAGCGGGTGGTTTTGTCAGCTTGGGGCTGGCAGGGAGGCCCAGGGCTGGCAGTGGGGCCTGGCCCACACAGCTGAGGGCACGCTGGGAGCTTTGCCTGACAGCTTGGAATCCACAGTGCCCCACTAACTGTTTCCCAGCCTCTGGGGCTCAGGCCATTCTGAAGGGTCTGTGGCAACACTTTCAGGCCGGGCCATTTGGGAGTCCTTGCCTGGCTGCTCAGAAACATCATCAGCTTAGACAGAGTCCCCAAAGAACTTCTACACTCTCTTTCTTGGATCTCCCTGCCATGTCTTTCCTTAAGTTGAACAGGCCTTCCTGAACCTTCCAGCCTGTGTGTTTCCATTTTGGACTGTGTGGGGGCTGAGGCCCAGTGTCCAGAGCAGTTTTCCTTGGCCGTGGGCAAGTGGTTCGTGCCAGCCCATGGGCCTGCATGAGAAGTGTGATGGGAGACACAGCACAGGTCTCCCAGCTGAGGGGCTGTTTCCCGGTGCTGTGGGACAGTGAGTAACCTGCAGGCAGGAGAGCTGTCACAGCAGTTTGGAGATTACCAGTGTCCAGGAAGCACCTTGATCCAGCCGGGAAGGGTCGCTCAGGATTAAGGATGTCTGTCTACTCCATACCTGAGGTATCCGGGAGCCAAGGTTAGTCCTTTTCCTGGCCACACTTGGAGCCTCTCCTGGGCTGTTTTTGAAGGGCTTCTGCAAGTTGCCCTTCCTGTTCTTAAGGGGACCTTGCTGTGGGTTCGCATCACTGAGGCCTTGCCCTGTGCCAGGCATGGGCCAGGCTCTGGGGTCTGGGAGCTGCAAGATGTCGGCACAGTGTGCTAGAGCAAGGCCTTGGGGTCTTCCCCAGCTCTAGGCTAGGCCCAGCCTGTTTCATATGGGGACAGTCAGTGGCAGCCTCACAGAGCTAGCTCAAGGCTGGAGTGAGTGCATTGATTAGGGCCTGACCATAGAATACTTGAGATTTGTCTCGACAGCCCTAGCAAGGTCTGCTGACCCATCTGTGTGAAACAGGCTTAGGGCTGTAGAGCTGTGCCTGCTGGGTGCTCTGAGGCCTGTGTCCCTTCCTCCAGGCCCCCACCCCCACGCTGTACTTTCTTGGTCACGTGGCAGCTCTTAGCTGAATGAGCACAGACCCCTGCTCTATGCTTTCTCAGCAGGCAGATCGTCTCAGCAACCAGGTGAAGGTCCCTGGTGCTCACCAGGCCCTGGGTATAGGGCTGAGGGAAGAGGTCCAGGAACGGTGACGGGCACAGGGTGGGAAGACCCTCAAGAGGTGCTTCCAAGCCTTTTGTGTGCTTACCGCTTCTTCCTGAGTGTGCCATGTGCTGTCTGTGCCCAGGGTGCTCTGAAAGACATCCCAGCACCGATGGGATGGGAGGCAGGAGGCCCACGAGATCCTGTCTCAAAAAGAAAGACACAGTTCTCAGCCCCAGGGGCCCAGTCTTGTCTGCCTCATGATCTGGGTGATGAGCCCATGTTGAGCAGGAGCTGTGGAGGCTGGCCCCTCAGTTGGGACCACAAAGTGCTGTGTGTTGAATGTAATTGCGGGTGGATGAACCTGCTTGTGTCAAAATGACACGACATGCAAAACAAGTTGGCACATGCAAAATGGGTAAACTCTGACCTGGGTCTGGCATGTAGGTCCCAGCACTGTACAGTGGCCTGCACCTGTTAACAGTGCACCTGGTTAGTGAGATGTCTTAGGGAGCAGCAGAGAAGGGAACACAGGGCTCCTCTGAACTGTTTGTACTCTTGGGGTCTGTCGTGATTTCATGATGCAAAGTAAGGAGGAACGATAGGACAGAATTTTCCAGGGTGGCGGGTGTGTGACGTTCTGTGATTTGGTTGCAGAGGCCCAAGGAGGAGGAAGGAAGGGGGTGAGGAGCTGGCCCTGGAGGTGCTGGGGACAAGTGGCTGGGCTCAGAGGCCCTCCCCCACAATGGCGTCACCTTTTTCTCTTTGGGGTGTTTTGGGGTGGCCCTGCCTGCTCCCCTCACAGTTGCTTCCTGTTTGGCAGCTTGTCTAGAGCCAAGCGTGGGCTGCATCTGGCCCTCCCTGAGGGTGGCCCGTGCTGCACCTGTTGTTTTTGCCTGTCTGCTGTAACAGCAGCCAGCCTTGAGCATTCTTGGGTTCCTCTCCAAGGCTGAGTTTGCTCAGCACCCAGAGCCCTGGTAGCAGAGGCCTCTGCTGCTGGGACTGGAGAGAGCTTCTTCCAAAGCCTTGAGCCAGGGTACCAGGCCTTGGTCGTGGACAAGAGCTAATCCACAGACAGAGGCTGGGTGCACTGGGTCAGCAGCAGAAATATGTCCTGAGGCAGAGCACATGTACCTGAGCCGACTGACACCCAGGAGTCTAGATGCCCCTCTGGAGCCAAGTTTCTCTGCCTTGTCCTCGCAGCAGCTCAGTGGCCCTGTCTGCCAGGTGGACATACTGGGTGCAGGCAGGGAATCCAGCTAGTGTTTACAGCACCTCCTGCAGGAGGACCACCAGGCTCGCATGGGACCAGAGCTGTGGAGGGGAAGGAGAAGCCAGGCTGGAAGGTGGGGAGGAGCCTGGGGTCCAGAAGGACCGTGCTGATGGACTTGGCTGTCACTCTGGGTGGAGGTAGGAAGAGTTCAGGTGGGGAATTGCTAGGAACCCAGCAATGTCTCCCACACACGGACTCACTGCTAGACCACTCGTTTCCCACACCTGCTCGGCGGTCTGCTGGGCCCCAGGGAACCTGAGCTCCATCACGGGATTCCCAGGAAGCCTGCCAGCCTGGCTTCCTCGCTCCCAGGGCTCCACCCTCGCCATCCCTCTCCCCTTCTCTGAGCTGCCATATAGCCTCCAACTTGGTGGGATGAGGGCCCCAGGGAGCAGAAAAAGTGAAGTGGGCTCATTTGCTTTTCTCATTTTTGTTTTCAGAGGTCGCTTTGTGTTCAGGAAGTGGGCCCTCCTGAGCTGTGGCCAGTTGTTTCTTGCTATGAGTTTTGCTTTGCTTTGAGAAGGGCCTCTGTCTGTCCTCTGGGCACTGTCT